ATCGAGGATCGGATCGAGGGAAGAGAATCGCGATTCGATTCGATTTCCGTGGATCGTTACAGCTCTAGTAGCTAGGATCTTTCTTCTTTTAATATCCTCTTCTGTGTTAATTTTCGATCCTAACTATTTGCAAATTTTCCAGTCATCACGGCCGTTTGTTCTGATCAGGTGATATTCTGTCTTTCCTTCATTGGTTTCTAGGTTTAGCTGGCATCTGAGTTTTGATGGTGTTGACGGTGTTGCAGTTAGTGGTTATCCATCCAATGTCATCAGTGTATTGTTGTTCTGAGGTGAAGTGAGGTGTCTGTTCTTGTTGACTGTATGTGTGATCAGGTGATGGTGGTGTTATGAAGACTGGTTCATTACCTCCGCAACGGAGTTGCAGGGAGGTAATGTAATCGGTCTCGTGTGTGTGTTCGTGTGTGTGTGTAGCGTTGGCGCGATCGATTCAGCACCAGCTCGCCTTAGGGTGTCCAGTCAGCAGCAGCTTGCCTTAGGGCGTCCAGTCAGCAGCAGCCAGCAGCGAGCCAGCTGTTATACACATGTACGCTCGTGGAGGTATGCACTCTCTTTGAGTGCCCTCTGTCTAGTTATGATGAGGTTTACAGTAGTTGTGTTCATTTTCGTTATTTTCATCTTTTAAGCTTATAGCACGCGCTAGGTAAAAAATGAACATTAAGGCACTGACGCAGTTTCCCTGAGGCAATCCAATGTTTGTGGTGATTTTTCGACCGGTTTCATTGTTTATTTTTACGTAATACTCAACATCTTTTAAAAGGAGATAGAATAGGTGAATTTATTATTATTTAGTTTCAACACAAATTTTGTTCTAAGTTACCGATGTTCAGTTGTATATTCGCCCGCTTGCATATAGGCTGTCGTTGCGATCGGTTACCCGGTGTACTTCATTGCAAATATACATAACCGGGTGAAACTCATGATGGGTCGTTATAAATCTCTATAGTATCCACCTATGACTGGTAGAAACGCGGCTGGTCTTCTACAACCGGACGAACAAAGTTCAAGAAGCTATGATAGGTAATGGGTCGGAAACAACAGGTTTTAGGTCACGTGACAGTGGTGTTTAGATGGGTTTCTCGTCTCTTCGTAAATATAAAGTGCGCAAAGTCCAAAGGTACGAGTGCTGTCTAGATAGATGGATACAATATGGCAGCCTCCATTACCACTTTGCTATAGAATTTTACAGGTTCAGATTCAGATTCTTTATTTTAGCACATAACTTAGTTAACAATACAGCAGGTGTATGATAGTTATGCTCATAGGGTCTATATGTCCCCCAGGGTACAGTCCAGCGAAAAAAATACACGGGAGCGGCGAGCGATTTCGCTCCCGTCAGCTTTCAAAGCGCTCTGGTAACAACAATTACGAGAGCGAAAATTTTGGAAGC